AAAAAAAAAACACCAAGACTATTAAAAGGGTTCAGAGAAGGAGAGAATTGAATTACATGGAACAACAAACACATGATATGAGATCATGTAAGAACACGATTAGATTACTCACAGCCGGGCGTTGTCTCTGGTGATACAGGTACTGCATTAGTCTACGTGAGCATACACCACCGTCATATGGCCGTTTTATAACCGAACTCGGCTGCATTCCCTGCTGCAGAAGCTGTTGTCTCAATTGTTGCTGCTGTTGCTGTTGCTGCTGCAGTAACTGAACCCTTTGCATAGGCGGCATAGACTGAAGAAGCTGTTCTCTTTGCTGCTGCTGCTGCCTTAACCGCTGTTGCTGGATCAGAGCCTGCAACTGAGAATTCGGATTCTGCAAGGTCATCGAGTCTTGCCTCTGCAAAAGCTGCTGCAGAACATCTTCCTGCTTGATGTCCAGGCGGGGCTTCTTTTGAACCTGAGACATGGTGTTCGGGTCCTGAATGAAAGAATTTGAGTCCCTGGACCCAATAGGGATCTGGACCTGCCCCATTCGTGACCCGGGTATCAATGTGGTGCTCGAGTGCTGATTTTGCTGGGCTTGTGCCTGGTCTTGATTGGAGCTTTGCTGAGCGGACGAACCAGAGGTGCTTATGTTGTTGGACGTGAACGAGAGTGGTGAAGTGGGTAGGCGCATGTAGGACTCCGTGTTGAAACTCACACTTCTTTGCATGTGCGGCCCGCTCGAGAGCCCCGAGTTTGCGTCAGTGACCAGAGAGCTCGCCCCAATGCTGGGTGCGGAGGTTGCCATACTGTTGAGGACCGCATTCCCAACATCCCCGGACAGCGGGCCCACACTGACACGTGCTCGTCCGGGTATGGAGTGCATGGAGTTGCTGATGTTCGAGCTCAACTGTGAACTCCCAGAGACCTGAGACTGCCCGTCCCCTTGGAAAAATATCCCAGAGCTCGAAGATGATTGCGGCATCCCTCCCGACGCACGAGAAGGCACCATCTGGAGAACCCGGTGCCTAATTTCCGGGATTCAAAATTTTGTACAGTAAAGGAATCTTCAAGAATTCCAGGGTATTATAGTGGAGCCGAGGACTCAAGCTTTGCTATAGTGCAGAAGCCCTTTGTACCAATCAGAATGACTTTAAACTTAATCACCCGAGGTGTAATCAACACAGAGTGAAGGCAACTCTTTCACCAGCAACCTTATTCACTTGTTTTTACACCAGTTCATCAAAGCCCATAGAGAATAAATAACTA